CACGAATTAAAAAAAATATGTATAATCTGAATAATCTCTCCCCCTATATAGTTGGAGATTTCTGTAGCTTCTTTGTAATAACAAGTTATATTGTACAGATATCAGCTTCAAAGTATATGTTTGTCTGTTTTAAATTAAAATTGAAACCTCATGAAATTTTTTGACATAATTATTTAAAAGGCAGAGAACTGTATACCTGTTATATATTTTAAATTTTGTACTACCTATTCAACCAAATAAATTTACAAATAAAAAAAGGCAGAGAGAAATCTTACATTTATAAACAGGAAAAGGAAGACAATTCAGGAAACTGTATTTGACTGTTTTTAATTGACTCTATAGGAAGGGTTGCAAAGCTATCAAGAAAAGTGGAAGGAAAAGGGAGAAAAGATACTATCTTCGTGATTGTAGGATAATTGCTGTGTATCTAATTTTTGATCTATTTTCAAAGATGCTGCCTAGTCAACTAGAATTTTAATCCTTCCAGAAGTCTGGAACATAAACACCTGGAATTTTTTTAATTGCCCAGAAATCTTAATTCTATATTATATTCCACACTTTTGTCTTATATTTCAAGAAATTTTTGCAAAATAGCACTGTGTGGCTGGCATTTTTCCTTGTAAATGACTTAACTGCCTTTTTAACCAAGCACAGTTTTGAAGGAAAGAGAAGGAAGACTAAAAATTATCCTGTGGGCATGTGGGCGTTAAGGGTGGAAACTGTTGGAGCCAGAATAGACTTGGGGTTTTCTAATCCATATCCTTCTAAGAGGGGCATGGCTTACCCCTTAACAAGATTACAAAGGACCTGAGGGCGGGAACCATGAATTGTCTGCAGCTACAGAATATTAAGTATTACATGTTCTCTTAAAAACACTTAAGTAAATGGATGAATTCTAAAAGCTTTTAGAAGCTATTCACAGAAGATTCCAGATTTTATCTCAAAAATCTTTATCTTATGACCTTCCATTAACAAGTCTTTCCAACCGTTTAACCTACCTTCTTCTCTCTTGGTGCAATTATGGACCATTTATTCTTGTTCTTCAAGAAAGGTGGAGAATATTTGAGCAACTTCTGTGTTAATTTCTTCATATTTATCGTACCTATCATAGTGTTTTTACTTAAAATAGTATTTGAATTTAAATGAGCATTTAAATGGATAAAAACTTAATATATATATCTTCCCCTTTAGTACTCTTTTTTTATTGTGATTTAAAGAAAAGCATAACTGGTGGCACAGTGGTTAAGTTCACACACACTGCTTTGGTGGCCTGGAGTTCGTGGGTTTGGATCCCAGGTACAGATCTAGTGTCACTCATCAAGCCATGCTGTGGCAACATCTCACATAAAATAGAGGAAGATTGGCATAGACATTAGCTCAGCGACAATCTTCCTCAAGCAAAAAGAGGAAGATTGGCAATAGATGTTAGCTCAGGGCCAGTCTTCCTCACACACACACACAAAAGCATAACATGGAGTCTACTTTCTTAACACATTTTTAAGTGTACAGTATTATTAGCTATATACACATTGCTGTACAGCAGATCTCTAGAACTTTTCACGTTGCATGACTGAAACCATTGACCAACATCTCCTCGTTCCCCCCCGCCTCACCCCAACCCCTGGCAACCACCATTCTACTCTCTGTTCTGTGAGTTTGACTACTTTAGAAGCCTCATATAAGTGGAATCATGCAGTCCTTCTGTCCTTTGCCTTTGTCCTTCTGTCACTGCCTTTAAATAATATAAGTTTTCTTAATTTGACTGTATTAAGCTCTATTATTTACTCATTCTATGTTCTGCATGGGACCCTAGTTTTTCACACCACATTTAAACATGAAATTGAATATATGCTGAAAGAATAAAGTGTTTATTTTCATTACTCTTGCAGTTTTAAACCTCTATTAATATATCTTAGAAACAAGTTTACCTTGAAGCATACAGTATTGCTAAAATCTCAAAAGCTTGTAATCACTGTGGTCCCCAGATCTTTCCTGGGGAACATACATTTTGACACAAAAGAATCCTTACATTTTTAGCTTTTAACAGAATCCCAAGCAGAATCCCGAGCAGCCTATTAACCCGATTATCATCAGCATCATCAGAATTGGGGATGGGACAAGGCTTCCAGGATGCAGCTGAAAAAAAGAGTGAGAAGTGGAGTAACATTCAGTGATGTCTATGGGCTGTATCACTTTCTTATATAAAAATATACATATTTGACCCAGTAATGCTACTTCAAGAACTATATCGTTTGAAAAGATTTGGATGAATTTTGGAAAGGATACATTAAGTTTTTTCTAGAATCGAATACAATAAACTCTTTAATGGAGTTTACCTTTGGGGAATGACATCATTAAAAGATATTGGATATAGAGGCAATTGGATTATAAAGGAAGGAATTCCATAAAGGAATACTTTTGCTTTCCATTTTATACTTTACTTTGTTTACTTTTGCATGTATTGCTTTTATTGTATTTAAAAATTCAAATATTTAAAGACCCTTTAGTAGATAAAAATGCTTTAATTGTTAGGTAGCACTTTTACCCACAGTTAGTACTTTTTTCTTCCAGTGTTTAGAACATAAAATATATTTTGAGACAATTTGCTAATTTTCAGTAAATTGATGGTTGAATTGAGGGAGGAAGCGTTATTCTACAAGTCTGAAAATTTTGCCCTTAGAGGACTGTCAGAGGAGGAGGTTGAAAGAGAAGCATTTTTTCTTATCAAATTATATCAGTTAGCTATGGCTGCACAGTACAGCACCCCAAAAATTAGTGGCTTAAAGCAGCAACCGTTTCTTTAGTCCCTAATTCTGTGGGTCAGCCATTTGGCTTGGCCTCAGCTGGGCAGTTCTGTGGTCTGCACCAGGCTTGGCCCACCTCAGCTAGACTTGCTTGATTGTGGTCGGCTGCCAGACTGGCTGGGAATGAGTTAGTCAGTCTAGGATGGTCTCTGTTGGAACGGCTCCTGTCTTCTCCGTGTGGTCTCCTCCTCCAACACGCCAGCACAGCCTTATTTACCTCGGGGTTCAGCAGAGTTCTGAGGGATTGAGCAGAAATAGGCAAGGCCCCTGGAGGTTTGGCTCAGAATTGGCCAACAGCATCACTTCCACTGCATTCTGAGTTAAAGCAAAACGCACAAGGCCATCCCAGATTCAAGAGACGGGGAAATAGACTGTGCCACTTGATAGAAGGAGTTCCAGAGTCGCACTGCAAAGGAGCATGGAGGCAGAGAGGGGAATAATTGCAGGCATTTTTGCCCAAAATCTGCAATACAAAGTCTTACCCTGCCCATGTAATATGTGAATAATCAACAGAGTCTCTGTGGCAATCAGATATATATCACTTTTCTTAACGTTTGCTAACATTATCATCTTTATGTTACTGGTACAATGTAAACAATTATTCAATTTGAAAATAGTTAATACACTCTGGATCTAGCTTCTTTTTAATGATAACAGCTAACATTTACTGGCTACAAAGCATTTACTATGTGCCAGGCAGTGTCCTAAGCATAAAGTTTATCATATCATAAGAATAGATGGTTGTGGGATCAGCTTGGTGGCTCAGTGGTTAAGTTCTCACGTTCTGCTTCAGTGGCCCAGGGTTTACCAGTTTGGATCCCAGGTGTGGACCTACGCACCACTTGGCAAGCCATGCTGTGGCAAGTGTCCCACATATAAAGTAGAGAAAGATGGGCACAGATGTTAGCTCAAGGCCAGTCTTCCTCAGCAGAAAGAGGAGGATTGGCAGCAGATATTAGTTCAGGGCTAATCTTCCTTAGAAAAAGAAAAAAAGATGATTGTTAGAAGTGTGGAGTCTGGAACCTGACATGGTTCGGATTCTGATTTTGCCACTTAGCTTTGTGACTTTGGGCAAGTCATTTAGCCTTATTGTGCTTCAGTTTCCTATCTGTAAAATGGGCTAATAATAATAAACATTACTCGTAAGGTTGACATGAGGATTAAATCTAAATTAATCTATATTCCATGCTGGTAACAGTACCTAATACCTGATACGAGCTGTTAGCTATGGTCATGGTCATCATTATCATCCCTCACAATAGCCCTGTGATGGTTAATTTATGAGTCATGACTATTACAAACCCTGTAAGGTAGGTTCTGTTATTGTCTCCATTTTTTTTTTTTTAAGATTTTTTTATTTTTTCCTTTTTCTCCCCAAAGCCCCCCATACATAGTTGTATATTCTTCATTGTGGGTCCTTCTAGTTGTGGCATGTGGGACGCTACCTCAGCGTGGTCTGATGAGCAGTGCCATGTCCGCGCCCAGGATTCGAACCAACGAAACACTGGGCCGCCTGCAGCGGAGCGCGCGAACTTAACCACTCGGCCACGGGGCCAGCCCCTGTTATTGTCTCCATTTTACAGATAAGAACATTGAAGTTTGAGGAGGTTGACCAAAGTCACAAAGGCAAGATGTAGCAGGACCCGTATTCCAGCCTTGGCAGCTGATTCCAGAGTCTGGGCTTTTTGCGCTATACAACACTGTCACACTGTTTAACAGTAGCTTCCAGAATAATTGTCTGCAGGTCAAACATTTATATATTATGTTCTTTTTTCCCATTATCAGCATTCCAGAGAAGTTGCTTTTCCACACTAATTGCTTTTCAGTTGAGCAGACGTAAGAAGCAGCTACATTGTAGTTGAAAACTTCCATGTACAGTCAAGGCAGGAAGAGAATGGAGCTGGCATCTACTGAGCACTGATACCCCCTTGAGTAGATATTATCCCAATTTTATAGATGAGGAAACCAAGGCTGATCTTGTCCAAAATCACAAAGAATGAGCCTGACTCCCTTTTGCTGCTAGGCTGAACTAATGCATTAAATGTAGAGAGATTCTATTGTGAATACTTTGTAAAGCAATTCTGTAATAATTGCTACCTGATCTGCTTGTTTTACAAACAGAAGCAGAAGGTCTGACTTCTTCAAAGTGACTTCATGTTTCACTCTGATGAGTTACTCTGTTCCCTTCACTTCCAGAGGAGATCTGTACCCTGGTTATTGCTGAGACTTTCCCAGAAGACGCGGGGATCTTTACATGCTCGGCAAGAAATGATTACGGATCAGTAACCAGTACTGCCCAGCTGATTGTCACCTCAGGTATGTGAGGGGAAAAAAAATTGACTGGGTTCTGTTCTCTTGCACTTAATGTGGTTGACCACAGCAGGAAGAATTGCCCCAGAGGAGGGCTCAGCCTTTAGGAATGCTGGCTGCCGCTCCAGGAGATATCCTAGTGATCAGTGTTTCATCCTGAAACAAAAGGCTTTGAGGGAGGAGAGTGTAAGTGGAGAGAAAAACCAAAAAGATAATGATAATGTAGCAATTGAACACACATGGGGCTATTTTTTAAATCATGCAATTTTGGTCTTGGAAACAATGGAGCTGGTTTCCTAGCATCCTCATGCTAACCCAGAATCATGCTCACATCTGAAGGCCACCTCTGAATTGGAGGTGCGGTCAGTATTCTCAGCAGTGCCAACACAGGAGATCCGGACATGCTTGTACAAAGAAATCATTGTTTCATCCACTATGGAAACTTCTGAAAAAGTAAGACAAGATAAACTTTATGTAATTTGGAAAAACTCTAAAGATCTTAGAAATCAGATTTCATTGAAGGTGGACTATAACTGATATGAAAAACTAAAGCAATATATTATATTATTAAAGACAATATTCAAAAATATCTGACTACTTTTTAAACTCAGGAACTTACACTAGAGAAGGCAACATGAAACAGCTTTTTCCTTTATTTTAACTTTAGTTGACTGTTTTCTGCTATTACTAATTAGCTTTGCTTTAGTTTATTTCTATTGCCTCGTCTCTGACAGTTATTTTACAAAGGTTTTTAAAACATCTCTTTGACCAAGCCTGGCACATAGTTTTACACATAGTAGGGAATCCATAAATAGGTTGTTGGCTGTATGAGATGGACTCGGGGAGAACAATCGAATTGCACTTTGATTTCTTGAGAAGAGTGAGAACTTGGTGCTAGGTGGCAGCAGAGGCACAAACAAAACTGGTTTCGGGATGATACAGTGGGAATTCTAAATGCTTTTTCATCTTAATTAAGAAAAGAAATGTAAGGTTCACCTTATGGGTGAAGCAGTTGCTATGAATGAGTACTGTAAATGTGAAAAGGAAACTCCAGTGTCGTGATTGGAGCTACAGGGAGGGGAGAACCCCTGCATTTTGCTCTTGAGTTGGCTTAAGACTGTCCCATCAAATGGCCATAACAATGGTGTGGTTCTCCAATAATATGATCAAACCTCTGGACTCTAAAAGTCTCTGTGGCCAAACTTGGCATGCAGTATTTCCCATTTTCATCTGAGATAAACCTGCTATAGGTCAAACATAATTAGCAAGTATTTTTGAGTTTTCAGTTGACCTCAGTAAGCACCTTTGAGTACATTCCAGGAGCTCTGCTGGGCTCTAGGCAAGGTGAAGAATCCTAAGAAGACATGATCTTATCTCAAGATGTGTTCATTCAGTCTATTTAGAATAACAAGTAAACATTTCTTTTGTACTGAGTTACAGCTGTGGCAATCATCTGAATTGGAAAAAAATTATCTATGAGATCATAAGACAGTTCCCTCAGACCCAGAGCTTTACTTAGCTTTAAATAGAATGACTATCGGTTGCCTACCATATGAAACCTTTACAGCTTGAGTGGATATCAGTAAAGCATGGGTAGGATGTTCAGTCAGATCTGTGGGCTGAAATGTGAAAGGATGAAGCACCATTAGTTGATAATGTTTGTATTGTCGTTTTTCACCAAGTTCTGTCTTCAGCTCTTCTTTGAAATTTGTTAATGAATTGGTAGCTGGTTTCCCCACTCGTGGGCCTAGTCATGAAATGAAACAGGTAACAGTCACTCACAACAAGCTTGGAGAACCAGGCCCTCCAGCTGGCTTTGCTTCTGCATCAAATGAGAGCAGCAGTTACCTCTTTTTTAACAACTTAACGTGGCCCAAGAGATTCTCAGACGATCTAGGACAGTGTGAAAATAACTGTTGAACTAGTAGCATCTTATTTTTTTTCCCTCCCTTTCTCCTTCCTTAGCCAACACTGAAAACTGTAGCTATGACTCAATGGGAGAATCCAACAATGACCACTTCCAACACTTTCCACCTCCCCCTCCAATCTTGGAGACAAGTTCCTTTGAATTGGCTTCAAAGAAACCGTCTGAGATCCAGCACGTGAACAGCCCAGAGTTAGGACTTAGCATGGCAGCCCTTCAAATGCAATTCAGTTCTACTGAGAGGGAAACGAACGGAGTCCATCCCAGCCATGGAGTAAATGGACTGATTAACGGCAAAGCTAACAGTAGTAAATCTCTTCCAACACCAGCTGTCCTGCTTTCACCCACGAAGGAGCCACCACCTCTGCTTGCCAAACCCAAACTGTGAGTATTTCTGCATGATTTTATAATACTTTCCATACCCCTGCTAAATTGCCTCTCTGGTTAGGGGAAACTTTTTGCCTGGACTCAGCTCTGTGGCAAGTTGCCCCTTCTGCAGGCAAGCTGTCCCTGGCTGATGGGACCTTGCTACCAAGTTGGGTCCTTCCAAAATATAAAAGATACCTAAAAATAAAGAAGGGAAATGAGAAGCTTGGTTAAATTTGCCCTTTGGTAAAAGCTGTAACTGGTTTCAGCTGTGAAAATATCTGTGCATGGCGTGGCCTTCCAATGTATGGCTAAGACGTAGCCACTCCCCAGAGGTGATGGGAAAGGGGGACCTGCTTGGAGCTCTCTATTAAAAGCATTTCCAAATGTTTTAAATTGAAGAATCAGTAAGGAAATCTGATAGAGATGGGAAGACTAAAATCTGAGGATGGAAATTCAGTGTGCAGAGCCTGGGTGGGGGAAGGAAACCAGAGATAACCAGGCTTGTCAGGAAGAAGAGCGCCTTTCAGAGCACAACCCACGTGGCTTTGGCATTCCAGGGACCTGCATATTTCCGTGAATACCATCTTCATGTTTGATTTCATTATTTTCTTAGGATGCTAAACCTTGCATGAGCTGTTTCCATTGGCACCACACAGCAGAGAGTTGTTATGAATAGAGCCATTACAATGTCAGAGAGAGGCAGAAGTCAATTAACCCAAAAGGTCCTACCATAGCATAGCAGACCTTGAATTACTGCCCTGATAGAGGTCAGTGGAAATGTCAGATGCATATAAAATGTATGCATACCCAACAGGGTCACATTTCCTTGAGAATGAATTCACCAGAATCTAGGAAAGTCTGTTGTATTTCCCCATGATGTCTGATGTTTTCGATTTGGGGCAGGAAGGTGACTTTCGCTTGGAGAATTCTTTGTTTCCCTAATACTAAACAGCCTACTCTCTTCTCTCTGTCATCAGCTCATTTGTTAGAAATCTTAGACTATATTAGATATTAAAGTTAGAATATCTTATATTTGTACATCACTTTATTGTTTTCTAAGTGATTTCATAAACACTGTTAGACTAATCAAATAAATCTGCCAAACGAGCAGCTTAAGTTAGCAAATGGGTAGACAATTTTATAAAAATAAACTTCTGGACAAACTTGTGTTACGGTTTCAAGAATCTATCTCTTCCTACCCTGCACTTAATTCTGTGTTCCATCCGGGCTTATTTTTAGGCAGAAGGGCTAGTAGGTTTGTGTACAGTGGCGTCAAAGATGCCAGGTGAACATTTTTATGCTCCAGCTCCATTGAGATGCTGAACAGGTCCAGCGAGCTCAAAAGTGGCAGCCTTAAAAGAGATTTAGCCTCTTGTAGCTCCATCCCATAAAATTAAATGCCACTACTGACTCCTTGCTTCTTTGCCTTTGCGGTGCTTTTAATGAAACAAGGGAGCTGCTCTCCTGGGGAAGAAAGGACGAATGTGTGTAATGACTGGGACTTGATGTGCTCTGATTAAGTGAAGTGTATCCACCATAATGGCTGTCATAAATTGCACATAAATCACAGGCGAGCAAACGTGCGGAGCTGTTAACAGGCATTTACTGCCTTTCTTATCTCAGGAGTTTCAACAGCTCTTCAGCTTCTAGCTCTGCTTTACACTGATGTTAGGGTGTATGATGGAGGGGCATGTCTACAAAAGACACAAAACAGTTTTGTGATTATTCAGAGGAGGAGTAGCTTAAGTGCAAGTTTGAAGAGTGACATCATGTTTTGCTTATTCGTCAGATTTTCAATAGAAAATAAGGTAGGAGGAATGGACTCTAGTTTTTCATGTTCACGTGGAGGAGTTACTCCCCACTTCATGAGGAAATTTAAGGAAAGGCAGAGTACCTGATCACAAAACCTAGTGGCTTAGAAATAACATTGACTTGTGCCAGGTTTTACCAATTTTCTTTTTTCAAATCTTTGTGTGTATGTTTGGTGTGCGGTCTTGCACTCCTTTCTGGATTATCACGATCTTTTCTGAAAATATTTGCTCATTGTTTTAAAAGTTGTATCCAGTGACAGAAAAATGCTGTTGAATGACATTTGCAAATAATTTAGGATGGCATCTAAGTTATTGATAATTAATGACTGTAGGTAACCACCAAGTAAAATTTTTACACACATCTATTAGTTTCATACATTGGAAGAAAAAATAAGATTTTGCTTGTCTCTGTGGTTGGCAGTGAAGAACTGTGGTTTACCCTAATCTTGTTTCATCAGCCTATGATTTAATTCCCCTTTATAAAAGGAGAGGTCTATATTTGGGAGTTTTCTGGCATTTCAGTCATCTAAAACATTTGTAATCCACAAATAGAAAACAGGAAGGGCTAAATAATAGGAATTAAAATATTTACTCTTGCAATAAATTAATCTAAAATGGTGTTTGATTCATCACATTCCTAAAAAAAGATCATTTTCAAAAAGAAATCTTCTTTGTATGACTTCGCTCAAGTAACTCCAACACTGATCATGGGAAGAAAAAAAATCAAAGACTACAATGAAAAGCTAGAAATGTTATGAATTCTTTTCTTGAACAAGGTCCAGCCCTGATCCTCAATTATCCACCAGAAATCCTCACCCATAGCCTTGCCCCCTCCCAGACCTCCAGCTGAGTCTGTGGTACTTGCCCTGAGGATGAGCTCCTGGCTCAGTGTCATGGAGGCGTCCACTGCAGTTTCTGCATCTCCGACACTGTTCCTCGAGTATAAGTTAAACGTGATTAAATGTAAGCCATTCAGTAAGTGCCAGAAGCCATGCACGCTGGCTTTGTGGACTGCCTTACCACTTACCATGGGAACAGAAGGGCACTTAGATGCTGCACAGGAAAAAATTCATAAGTGAGAGTTATTTGTGTGACTCAGTGTGTGACACTCATAATCTTCTATTACAGTATAAGAAAAAGAAGCAACATGTGCTTAAATCATATTTCTTATCACAGAAAAAGAAGAAGCAAGCATGAACCTAACTTATGAACTATTTGCTGTGTTATTTTCTTTGTTTGGAGTACATCAAATAAGTCTGTTGCCACCCTCTTTCTACAAATGATGCCTGAAGATTCAGAATAAACATAGGGCTCAGTGTGTTAATAGGAAATAAAATTCCTGCTTCTCTTTCTTCGTGCCAAAACACAGTCTTTCAAAGGCAAGGATATGCATGCTGTCCCCAGGAATAAACCCTGGAGAGAAATTTGTGAATGCCAAATTTAGTAGGTGATTTGCAAAGCGTATAGAGAAGCGTGGTCATGTTTTTCTACTGAACTCATCTCCTAAATTAGACCAAACAATATCTAAATAACAATATGCTGTTTTCAAACCCTATTTCTTCTTTTTTTATATTCTTCCTGTCTTGTGGGAGGGACATAGAATATAAACCTGTGGAAGAAGCAAAATGAGGCGTTAAAATGGAGGCAATAGGCAAATCCTTGCACCCACAAACAGGACAAGTCAGCAGATAAGATTATGTGTATTTGTCACTCTAGGGCCAGTAATATAGACATTACCATAAAAGTCCGTGTCCTTTGACCGGGAGAACGATAATGAAATATTTTAAAACTTTTACATGTGTAATCAACAGCCACAATAGATCTAGATTTAACTCTCTTTGCTCCTATTCTTACTGCTTTCTCTTCCCCCAACCTCTAAAGAAAAAACAGTATCATTATTTCCTATCTGAAAAGGGTGAAATGATTTCAGGCTGAATCAGGCTTCTCAGAATAATTGCATTTCAGGGCAAGCCTGGTGGCATAATGGTTAAGTTCACACGCTCCACTTCTGTGGCCTGGGCTTCACAGTTTTGGATCCCGGGTGCAGACCTGCACACCACTCATCAAGCCACACTGTGGCGGTATCCCACATACAAAATAGAGGAAGGCTGGCACAGATGTTAGCTCAGCAACAATCTTCCTCAGGCAACAAGAGGAAAATAGGCAGCAGATGTTAGCTTAGGGCCAATCTTCCTTGCCAAAATAAAAATTAAAAAATTGCATTTGACTGCTTTGGCTTCCCTCTTTCTCCTTTCTCTCACTCTTACCCTCAGACATCTAATCATTCCTACAATTCTTGTCTCAAGATGGGGGATGTCCCGTTAACTCATTCATACTAAGGTATTAGAGATTTTATGTGTCATCTCAGTGCGGTTCTGGACTGACAAAGCAAAGCTGTATCTTCATAATACTGAGCAATAATAAACACTGTGTAAACTCAGAACAATGTCCTTTCACTGCACATGCGGGAAGGAGAGATGATGTGTTTGAGAGAGAAGAGAAGAAAATAGCAGCCCGGGTCACTCTCTTTATCAGTGACTTGACTGTGCAGGCCTGCTATATTTGGAAATTCCTTATGGTTTTCTCCACACTCCTAGACACAAATTTAAGCACAAGTTGTTCCCTTGCCTGGAATGTTCTACTCCCTGGAATGTTCTGCGACTAGTGGCTGGCTCCCTCTTGCTTTCAACTCTCAGCTTAATGTCACCACCTTTCCTGACCACCCATTTGAAAGCAGCCACCCGGCCATCCTCCAGTAAATCATCCTCTTTAGTTACGGCAGAGCGTGTAATTGTTTCTGATTGTTCTTATAGACTTACTTGTTGATTTATGTGTTGTTTTCCCCCGACTATTATAATATATGCTTTCTGAGAGGAGGGACCTTGACTGTCTTTCTCACTACCCTCTCACCCGGACCTAGATCAGGGCCTGACAAATAGGAAATGCTCAAAAATATTTTTGAATGAATGAAGCAAGGGAAGATTGACCAAAAGGAAAAGAAGGATGTCCCACGTGTAGAGCGACCCCCACTTGTTCTGCTTGACTTCATTCTTAGATGTACCATAGACTTCTGTTTTCAAACCCACCAATTCCAGAGTTTTCCCACTTTATAATACTTTTCCAACTGACATCATTAATCTTATAAACAGAATGAATAGGCAGAATTAACTAAGAATCTAACTAAGGATGGAATTACAGTAGAAA